GTCATAATTAAATAGGTATATACGTACGTATAGAAATGGCAAACAGTCTCACTTTTCAACCAAAACATTTTAGCCTCCAAGCAGCCTCCAGCAAGTTTTGACGCCTGAAATGGCTGAGACTGAGGAACCTACGCAAAGGACTTACAACAGAGTCTTATTTATCTTCTAAGCATAGAGTAGCCTACCGTTGGGGTTTTCAATCCGTTTGTAGCCTGTCGGTGACATAGTTTTCCAGTTATGGTAACTATTATAGTATTGGACGATCTGGCTGATGTTCTACCCACCCTCCTTTTGTCTCACGGAGTCTCCACTCCAGGTCGCGCTTGCTCCATCTACCATCATAGATAGATGATATATATGTCTAATGTATACCTATAAATTACTATTTAATATAAGTACATACAGTACGATATCTACTTCTGTAAAAATTCTTATTCTTATACACAGTTCATTCAATTTATATTTATTTACTAATTGTGTAATTTTGCGAGTAAACATTTTATTACAAATTATACAATAGCCTATTGATCACGAATTAACAGTGAATAGAGTGTGTGATGGTAAAAATTTGGACATGTTTTGAAATATATTGACATTGTTACGAGTATGCCAGCACGTTGTGAAGCAATTGTAGCTCTCAAGTAATTTAATATTATATTATTACGCTTTTGTACAAATAAATCAGTGATTTTATATCCTATTGAACGATGATACTCAATCAGTTCATTTATACATCGATATAAATGAACTATCAAAATAGATGTTATTACTACAACTACATTCCGAACTGACAGTAGAATTGACTGACCTATCATAAGTGTCTGTAAGAGATCTACTCGGATGAAGATATTTAAATTTGTTTTGATCGTAAAACGATAAATATGTTGCAATTTTGTAAGAAATATTTTTTAATCTTTACAATAAATACAGAAAAATACAAATCAAAGAAAATTTATTGAATTGCAAATTAGCAGGCACCCTTCACACGGGCCCAATATTCCATTTTAATTAGCTATTTGTTTTTATAAGAATTTGTATAGAGACTACCCCGAACAAACAAACATACAAACTTTAACTCTTTGTAATATTAGTATACACTAGTGGTGCCCGTAGTAGTGACTCATTCGGTCACGCGTAGTCACGTCATATAAATAAAATTGTTGGCATATGGAAAATATTCATTACTTTAATTACCTTTACGAGGTATTTTAATCAGCGTTGTTTAGCCTATATTTTCAGTCATATTTCACTAAAAAATCTGTTAAAATTTCATTCTATATCCTCAAGCCTTATCAATAATGCTACCGCCTTACTTCCGATAATGGATTTCGGTCGCGGCGCAGGTTTGATTTCTCGCATGGTTCTAACATTTGTATTTATGAGTATGATTTTTTTTATTGTTATGATTACTTTCTATCTATAATATGTATGTTTTTATAAAACAAAATATTTAAATATTTCTACTGCTAGACATCCCTCTGTGGTCTCCTTATTTTTATTATAAAATTACACCATGCCCTGGTGTAGGCACAGCCATAAGTTCATTTGTTAGCACCACCCATTATTTATCCAAACATACAATTATTCTCTCCTTACACTATTACGCACTTATTAACTAGTCAACGCAACGCACTCGACGCATCTCGTCAACTTTCTCAAAAACTTATTTGATTTAACGCCATGGAAAATTCTAATCTGCATAATATTCTGAAGTTATTATTCTAGTAATTTACTCTTTATAGTCCAGACTGGTTTTCTCTCTGGAGTTATACGGTTGTTAATGATTCTGTCTATCAATAAACGCCCGCTATTATAGACGGCATGATGTATAAGATAAAGACTAAGAATCACTTTGTTTTTTACTTTGTATTCATATATTGCACAGAGCAATAAACTCAACTTTTTTTATAAGAATTGGGACTTGGCATTGCCATTATGAGATTATAATTAAAATTGAATCTACGTAATCACATGTATATATAAATAATACTTTTAATAATTATTATAAAATTTAAAATATTAAGTTAATTCTGCATAATTGAACTTTAAAAAAATGTAGGTAAGAACTATGTTAAACACGTCAGCTTTGAAATTGGTCCATTTGTGTAGGAGCTACGACTAGCTACACATACATACATACAGACACACTCAAATACCTATCTTCTTCCTTTGTAGTTTAGAAAAGAATAGCTAGCCTTACTTAAAATAAATGACTGGAAGTCTTTTGTTTTATTTGAATAGTCTGTCAATTAAAATAAAAAAAAAATTTTGGGATGGACTACCCCTAACATTTAGGGGGATGAAAAATAGATGTTGGCCGATTCTCAGACCTACTCAATACGCTCATAAAATTTCATGAGAATCGGTTAAGCCGTTTCGGAGGAGTATGGGAACGAAAACTGTGACACGAGAATTTTATATATATGATATATATTATATATATAAAATTCTCGTGTTAGTTCTATTTTTAAATTTGACAGATTTCCAAATTATGACAAAATACACTCGTTACATGTTTTTTCATGTACAGACGTAGTGGTTACTTGCTTAGTGGTGTTACGTCACTAGGAATAAAATAATTATCGATGCATATGTATCTGTGCAACAATTTTACCGCACGGGATATTAGAAACAATTGTGAAAATATATTAAGTTTGTGTGTTTGAAACTGTGCAAGTTTTTTTAGAAGTATTAAAGGTTGTTCCATAGATTCAATTTTGATAAGGGCGGTGCGAACTTTTTTAAAACGTAATGTTAATTGCTCTATGCTCAGTGTTACAGAAATACCTTTTAGTTCACTTGGGTCATGTAGGAAAGCTGAACCGTTCCAATTCCATCCATGGTCCTTGACCGGATCAAAGCGCTCTTGGCATTTTGGTTGCTTGCAAAACTGTGCACTTTGCATCCTGAAGTGAACACCGCCCGGTATTGCGAAATGAGAATGTAAATGTATCATATCATTTTGAAAATATATATATTTTTTATATACTCGGCAGCTTAGCCATCGTCTTTTTATAAACCTTAATTTCTAAGTAGACAAAGAAATAGTTTTTATTAAAATACACTTAATAAAAGTACTCTTAATAGTCATATTTTTTTTTATTCTTATCACAAGAAGAACGAGAAAGAAACTTGAGTGTTGCTCTTTTCAATAAAAGTTGTTCTAAATAAATACATATTAACAAGGATTAGGTATGCGACAATCAATGTAAAAAACGCTACGCACTCAATCTTTTTAGTCATCAAAGTTAACTGATATATCTAACAAATAAGTAAAGTATGGTAAGCATTTAATGTATAAAATTTACTGCTAATGAAGACAACATTTTATACGACAGAATTAATAATATGAGAGAATGTTAAACTTTATATTCCTAGAAGACAAGAAACTTAGATGTTTAATAGATTAGTTGTGTACAAACTTGTATAACAATAAAAATTGTAATTAATTACTTGATTGCCGCTTTAATTTATTAATCTCGCTGAAATTTAATTAAAGAACCGTTATGGCTTAGTGATAGTCAAAAGATCTCACGATTTCTGGGTCGTGAGTTCTGGGTCACTTGTGAACTGTTGCCATTGTGATTGTAACACTGGACTTCATATTTAGTCGAGCATATTTTTAAACAATATTGAAAGTGCAAAGCATTCTCGAATGCTATCACGGTATGCATTATATGTAAATTGAGATTAAAATAAAAATTGTGAACACAAAATTTATAATTAAAATAATTTAATCTTGTTATGTAGGTTCAGAAGAATTCATATCGTTACATTATTCTAGAATAATAATATAGCGAAAAAGTCTAGTAATAAACTAAATTTATTACTTATCTTTTATCATGAAATATTCAATCTACATTTTCATATAATAATACATCTTTTTGTTAAAAAAATCATGTGCTATTATTGCCAGGTACATTTGTAATTCAAGTAATCGTTTAGTGTGTAATATAGGCTTTGCTCAATAAATATGATTTAACATTGTTGTTGTAAGTAGTCAGTGTTATGCGTATTCTTATATATGTATATTTGGCTTTGATTGGGAATCCTTTGTCTCTAATCTTGTGTATTAATATTTGAATTTTAATAACTTACAGTCTCTATGCAATAAGTCACTTGATAAAAATAAAAGTGTAGGTATATTTTCGTTTTCACTGAAGTAAAATATGTAGTATTATCAAAGTGCATATATAATAATTATATGCCTAAACTCATACTCGAGGGAAAATAGAAATTGTTGATTTGCTATGCTCGTTAATAAATAGATTTATAGTCATATTACACGCTATGTTTGACCTCCACCTCGTATGGCACTTATCACTGAACAGAAATATTATTATTGCGAAGTCAGTTATGCCCGTATTTGATAAGCTGTATGAGAAATCCGTGTATGAAATCTAAAATGTATAATTTTGAAGACGTATTTAATTTAATCTTTGCGATAATTCCTAATGACCTTATCACAGTAATAATAGGTATTATTACGAAAATGTAAGAACAATGTAATTAGATCACATATTTATACGCGTAACTGGAAAAGACAGTGAAACATGTTATTACAAATAAAGAATTTGAGTTATGAATTTGAGATTTATATAATTTAAGCATTATAAAAATATTGTTATTATAAAAAATATAATAATTTTTTTTTTAATATTTTGGTTTTTATATTATTAATGTAGGTAGCTAAGAGGTAGCTAAGGTATTCTGAGATAACAATTTTTGATAACATTTAAAAACATAGCTAAATTGAAATAGGGTATTATTTGGAACCCAGCGAAATCTCTCTACAATCTTCTAAAAGATTTTGGCCTGTTTAGAAATGCAGTAAGAAGTTCTATAATAGTGTGTACTAAAGAAACATTAGCAGATTTGACTGGGAAGCGAGAGAAACATGAGTCCTCCAAAAAAAAATATAGCCGTATCCACGCAAACGAATCTTTGCTCGAAAACTATAGATAGAATGTTAATAAAAAACAAATTTAATTTTTCCACAGAGTTTCCTAGCTGCAAATGCAAAATGCTGGTGGGCCGGCGCCCTCGCTGCTGCCACGACAGAACTGAGATATGCTGGTTACGTCGCCCCGGGAGTGCTGCTGGTGGCCGGAGCGCCCAGGGCGTTGGAGACGGTCCGCGGGGCGTACGCTCGATCGGTGCTTAAGCCTCCGCCTACGTACTTGATATGTGGATTGGGTGAGTACATTTTAATCAATCAATCTATTAGTTACTTTAATTTTTTATATAATATTTATATATTATACAGAGTAATTGACACTATAAGATTAAAATCAAAATTGAATATAGATAACCGTAATCTGTAATGCTTTTAATAATAAATATTTTATTCAAATCAAATAAAACATCTTTATTCATGTAGGTCTATTACACACTCCTATGATATATTACATCAGTGACCGTAATCCGAACATTCCATGAAAGCAGCAACCATGTTTCAATTTTTAAAGAAATCTAAATATTGCGGTGGTAATAAGGTGGTATAAGGTGATGTCGTCTGGGCGAAATGCTCTTTTTTATGTAATTAGAATGGTAAACAAGTTGATGACCCATCTAATAGTACCCGGTATCTGTCGCCTATGTATGTATGAACAGGACGATGAATATCATGTAACACCCATAATACCACTCATGCGTTGCCCTTTCAGAGTACTAAGATGTCATGTTTCAAATCCTGTAATTTCACTGTCTTATCTCACCCTAGATAAAAAGCATGACGTCAACACTAGCCTTCACAGGGGGAAAGGGGATTGTTAGTAATGTGGACTGTTGACCCCATTGCTAGCAATGTACCATGTCAGGTCGACCTCCACGCGGTTCCCCCTGGAAACCATCGTGTTAAATTCCTGGTGAATTTATCACGATGGGCTAACTGACCTGACCTCATGCTCATCTTATCATCCTCCACTGGTGCCCCGCCAGCGTAAACCATTAGCGCAGGCGGGTGCACAATTCCATTATCATCCAGAAAAAAAAAAAACACTAGCCTTCATAAAATTAAAATTAATAATGTTATTTGTGTGAAAAAAAGTCTTTAGGTTTTTAAGTATAGTGAAATAGTAGGTAAATGAAGAAGTCATTAGCGTACGTTAAATTTTCTACACAAACGCGTGGGTGGCTGTATAAACAAAGCAGTTATGTTAAAATTTACGTAATTTCGTTTATTTAATACTTATATTTTATTTGTACAACTTACCCTAAGAGAAATGTGATGTGAAGAGATGTGACTCCAAAACCAAATAACTTTAAATAAATATAGAAACTTTAATTTAACGATGACTTTAGTTAAATATAATTAAAATACTTATATAATTAGTATAGTACATATGAATATTTATAACGTTAGAGCGTAATATTATTTTTATTTTCTAACTTGAATGTTATAATTTGTAATATAGTAGATTATTATGTATGTGTAAATAGAAGCAAAACAAGAGCGCAGCTCGAGATTCGAGGTTCCATATTCAAAATTATTAATTTTATTTTTAATGAAAACTTAATGGCTATTACTGTGCTATGGTAAAAAGAGTATAGTCTTTTAAATTAATAACATTATTTAAAAATTTTATTATTGAGACTACTCGTAAACACAATTGAAATATCAAATATATATATGTTTACAATAAGTTTTTTTTAATTACAATTGAACTAAATATTACTCTGTTTTTGTATACTTATATGTAATTATTTTATCAGGAGTGCATAATATAACCAACTATATCAAAATACACGGTACAGTCACCTACGCGAGCGAGACGCCCACCAGCGCACCGCCCGGCCTTGCAAGGACAGCCGCCCGTTACTATGCAATTGTTATTGCATTAATGCACTCGCAGTATTTATGAGTGTTTTTTTTAAAACCAATGTTATTTTACTATCGAATTAAAAAAGAGATTTTTAATTCTTGTATTTATGTTGAAGTTTGTGATAATAAACAATATATAAATATATTTATCCATAACATAAGTTAATCTGTGGTCATAACTGTCTATATTGAAACTAGACGGCGATTTTTCTTTCTAATCGATAATTATTTGTCTTACTAAATTTGTTAAGAGAAGAAACCTTATTTTAGTTTCATTTTATTATAACCTATACTAAGTTTTCGCAAAATGCTTATTTTAGTTGCCATTTTTTTAAACTGCTGATAACCGATTATAATGTATCGAAAGCCTTGCTGGGTGAATGACAATTTATTAATAATAATAATACACTCAAAAAAATCTAATTACCCTGAATCATTCAAATAGCGCTATCTAGCTAGAAACTAATCAAAGCTTGTGGGGTTTTTGAAATTATTTGAATATTTTAATTAAATAGTTACTATATAAATGTGTATCTATTTACTTAAATCATTTGCTATAAAAGATGTATAACGTATTGTTTATCTAATAATTAAAAATATGTGTATACAAAAAACCCAAAACAATACAAATAATCATACTTATGAGTACAAATGTTTATATTGTGGGTACGAGAATCGAATACACGACCATGGAAAGTAAGGCAGTGTGCTAAACCTCAAAGCCACCAAACGGTATTTTCCAAGCCTGCATTAATAAAATATTGTTGTGAAATAATAAAATTGCTCTACTGGCAAAATAAACTTATTATAGACTCGGAATGGATTAGTGTTATCGTATTCTTAATTAAAATTTACATCAATTTTTTTTAATGGTAGTGTATTAATGTATGTATGCATACATAGACACATATAATTGGTAAGGTATGCATTATATTTATTAGATGTATTGTTATGTTACGTGACGCGAGATATCTAATCACTAGGTACCTACTAATATGTAAAGCTGACTATTTTGTTTGTTTGTATAAATACGTTGAATCTCTGTGCCTACTAATCGAATTCGCAACAATCTTTATAGTTCAATTCATGAGGAAGGTAATAGAATATTAAACATTATTTTCTTACATTACTTATCTTTACTTTCTCTATCATCTACCACTCAAAGGCAGTCTGGAAGAGATTGTTTAGCAGTAAGACCACCTCTTATATCAGGTAATGTATATTATTATTTTATGTTTATTACTTATTTGGTGCAAAAAATAATGTAAATAAAGAATAAATAAAAATCACACTATACCTCTCAGACACAGAGAAAATAGGGATAAAGGAAATATAGAATAAACTAGTGTTTCAGCCAGGAAATAACTTTTTTAATGTAATTGAAATGGAAACCAGCTGATGGCCACCTGTAATTAAAATTAAAAGTAAATAATGAGTAATACGATGCGGTAGGTCGCAGAGGGTTGTCAACATTTCTATTAATCTTAAATGTAGTGGGTCTTTATTTTTACAAAGTACCTACTTATGTGTATCTGAGAATGAAAGTGGAGCTAAAATTAGCTTGTGAATGGGATACAACACATAGTGCTAAATATATGATCAGTTTATATCTATTTTATTTGTATTGTTTATTAAATATTATTATGTAAACATACTACTAGCTGCCCGCCCTGTCTTTGCACGGGTATACATGTATTATGCATATAAACCTTTCCTCTTGAATCGTTCTATTTATTGATAAAAACAGCATTGACATCCGTTGCGTAGTTTTAAAAATTTAAGCATACATAGGGACAGACAGCGACAGCGACTTTCTTTAGTTTATACTATGTAATAATGATGTCTCATGCCGATTTTCCTACTACCAGGCTGCAAAGTTAAAATCGTATAAGTAAAACCGCAGGAACAACTAGTCTGTATTATAAATGGATGACATTGATTTTAAGACTATGAATTATTGAATAGGTATATTGTAATAAAAATATGTATGCATCTCCATAACAACACTTGTGTTTATGTAGGAAGATACGTCAACTAGACATATACAGAGATTTTATTGTATGTATTATAGTTATGACATTGAGCAAATTAGATTTAGTGACATTGTTATCATAATTATTTATCAATGTATCAATATAACATCTTGTAATTGTTGTATTGTAACTGTAGCTAAAAGAATACACTATTAGTTAAGAAAAACCAGAAAATAATTATATGTATATATTCGTCTCAACAGTGCTTACAATAAAGTAAAAAATGACATATAAAAGAAGAGATATTCTTTTTTATATGTTAATATAATAAATTATATTAAGTATTAATATACTTAAAGAGTTCTTCTCAACTATGTGAAGAATCATATAAGACTGATTTTGACTTCTAATTTCATAATATTAAACGTTGTTGTTTTCATATGTTATTCTAAAAGTATGCATATTTTGGACACTCTTTTTCTACTTTTACTTTCATCTTATTTCTTCTGGAATATACATATAAATTATTTAGAATTTAATGCCTATGTTCATCGCCGTCTAAAATACTTCTTATATGCTCATATACTTTCATCTCGATTGGTCGAGTTGTTCCCGAGGTACTGTACCTGTACTATATTATATTATGTCAACTAAAAATTACTTCTCAAATACGTTGTTATTATTTCTAATGTTGCTTAAATCCTACATGCTTATAGGACTGATTAAATTGCATTTTAAAATGTTTAAAACATAATCTGGGATCACAAGATGGGAAGATGTAGTTAAAATGGCAGGGAAACTATGGACTTAAGACAGAACAGAATAGAAAAGATTTGTTATGGACTTTACTTAGAATCAAGCATAGGATCAAGAAATAGTATATATAGCGTAAACAGAAAAAAAGTTACATCTGAATAAAAGGTTATAATAATAAAAAAAGACACAATCGGGGAAGCAAAATATTTCATCAGTGCAACGTGTTTTTGACTTTCATTTTGACTGGTCTTGATTCAGTCATCCAGCTTGTCACGCCACGAGCATTAATATCGCTACTTTCACACAGTCCATCCATCTTTTTGGGTCTTCCCCTACCCATGTTTGTTTCTATTTTTAACTTACAATTTATTGCAAGTGTGAAAATTGTATTTATTATTTTGACTCTTTAAGATGTAGTATAGAAAATGTAAGGGGAAAACCTTACATTTTCTATACTACATCTTACATGTTGATTCAGTTTTCACCATCGTTTAAAGAATTTCCTCCGAAAGGTTTGTATGTTATGAGTTATGAACTGTGTCAGTTACATTGTATACACAAGCGAAGCCGAATCTTTCGCTAGTAAATTATAAATGAGAAACGATAATGTTTGTTTATTACCTCTTAACGCCATAACTGGTCAA